GCGGATATTTAAGAGGATTTCAAGAACATTTTGGTGTTAACCTCNTCTCAGAGGGAACCCACCCTTTGAATTTCTAATTTTAGCCGCGGGGCCCGTTCGCCACTCTTCTAGTGCGTAAGGGGACCACTTGAAAAGATTTGTATTTGTGAGGTTATTTATTTAAAAAGGTTTATGAAATAAATTAACCAGCGGGTTTTGGAAACCCGAACCCGTGCGTTTGGTTTTTCTTAAGTTTTTTAAGTTTTTAGCAGGAGGCACCCCAGGGGGGGCCCCAGGGGAGGCCCCCCCGCACAAGCAACCCCCCCAGTGGGACAGAGGGGATTTTTTGCCCCTCCAGCGAGGTTTCTTCTAGGAAACCTTCCCTTCCAAAGAGGACACAAATTCGTTGATTCTGGATTCATCAGTTTCAACCCCGACAGGTTTGACAAACAGTTTTGATTTCACCAGCAGATGGGGTAGCGTTTCCCCCTTGCTTCAATAATAAGTAAGCAGCTAAGTATTTCATTTTCTTCTTTCCTACTTTATTGTGATGATGAAATAATCAATTTAAGCTAGTTTAAAAGCAGACTATTCCTTGGTAAAATGAAGACATAATCAAAAAATAATGAAAGTTTATATAATGTAAAAAGTGTTAATAAGTATACATAAAATTTGACTATTGTTAAAAGTGGTTATAAATTAGTATTAAAAAGTAATCAATTTGTAGTGATGCTTTGAAACTTTTTTCAAAATTTCAACATCTCATCAAAAACTGAAAAAAAAAATTGCGTGTATCATAAACGACGACTAGTTCCAGGTTTTACTATGAAGTGCGAAATTATTGGCACGGTCACATGATATATATTTGTAGTATATCTCTACATGTAGAGTATATTGGCGGATGGTAAAATTCTTTAGAAAGCATTATTCTTCGTATGACACACTATGTTAGGATGTAAAATATGACAAATTGATGATAGTATATCTTATTCATACTTTGAAATTAACAGGTATTGTTTCTTGAAATCCTCATGTTCTCCCAAGATGAAAAGAAGATAGAAGGATATAATATTTTAACAGTAGTCACGTGATCTACTGGATTTGCTAAATAAGAAGATATATCTGAAAGTGGCAGCGGAGAAGATAAAATTGTCTATAAATATAATAATATGATTACTAGGTAAATATTCAATTTATTTAGCATGAAGCTGACTTGAGTTGTTGAAAATTCTCTCCCGTCATATCTCTCTCACTGTCGTTTTGTCTTCCAGTAACTAATATCAGTGAAAATTGTTGGATCTTCCACGTGACTTAGCAGGGTAATTATGACTGTTCATCAGATCGAATCAAATGACTAAAAATTAGGTCTTGCCTTACTAAATATATAGGGATTATCATGAAAGATATAAAGATAGCAGAATCTAAGATTGATTAACATTAGATCTCTGAAAATATTACTAGTGGCAAAAATATGGTAGAAGGCAAAATTACTATAGAGAGAATATCTAATAAATATCTAACTAAAGAGATATAAATATATATATTCTAATACTATATAATTTATCCAACCAGTTCTATATACAAAGCAAGTTCTTTAAGTAAAACTATACCGTCAACAATTGTGTTGAGTGGCCGTTAAATATTGCACATAATATATCTAATCCTCACTAGATTTATTATATTACCCTACCTATACTGGATGTTCCACGCGTATATTCCATTCTACCATCTGCCACCTTTTGTACGACAGGTTATGAGCCCCTGTAGGAATTACAGTCTAATCCAATCTAATAGTTATTAATATACTAAGAACTTGAAAATCTATCAAGCTACCACTAAAAAATCGAAATTCCAAATTTCCCTTTTGCAACATCACCACAATATTCGGAACATCAAAATAGAACCTCTTCTTCATCATATATCCCGGATCAAAAGATTGCTAACTTTATAAGTGGTAAAATACTAGACAAATCGAATAAACCCGTACCTCAATACCATGAAATTGACGAGTATATCAAGCAAAAGGAAATTAAGAAATTACTAAGTAAAATCCCTATTCTATCCAGTTCTAACCCAACCAAATGGCTAGAAAACACTGGATTAATCCTAAGTGAGGAACCAATGTTCAGATGCTACACAAATGAAAAACCAATTACAGCTGACGATAATTTTCAAAAGGCCCTATATCGCCAAATTGGCAATCTTATCTCTACTCCTGTCATCGTTAAGACAGAAGCTAATAGTATCAAGGACGCTATCCGCGGCAAAGATGCTAGAGGAATAATAAAACATGTTAGGGGTTGCTCAGAAAAGGTAAAATCTTTCGAAAAATCGAAAAGGTTCCTGAAGGCAACTAAAGGTACGAGACAGAATGATCAAAATAGGGATCTTACTGCAAATGAAGTTTTCACCAATATTACCAGACTGCAAAGTCTTTTAAAGATGAAGACATACTAATGTTACTCTCATCAAGCATTTTAGGAGGTATATTTGACTACCGCCTGAAAGATGGGTCCCTAGCATTACCTATGGAACACTTTAAAACCCTCATCACTGAGAAAATCAATGATGAATTTAAAGAAGAAAAGCTTGAGAACTTAATGTCTCTAAGTTTTTACTCAGAATTAATATTTGACTTTATGAAGAAAAGTGAAAACTTCAGTGGTGCAAATGCGAAGCTTAAACATATAACGAAAATAAATCCCACAGCATTCATAGCAACTAGTAAAGATGAAGACCAACCCAAAGTGAATAAGAATCAGGAAAATAGGCTAGATGAAGAAACCTTCATAAAAATTAAAGAAAAAGCCAAATCCCTGAAGGTTGGTGAAAACCAATACAAGCTAGAGCTAAATGTAAGTGGGAAATTTTCAATTGGCGAACTAGCTGGAATATATAGAGTTGGGAAAATATGCATCTTTTGTGGCCAACACCCAATCAGTCTAAAAAGTCATAAATGTATACAATAACAATCAATAGAGTCATCTTTCATAGCTATTCATGATAGACTTAATTATAATACAAGCATTTCTAAAGATAAAAATGGCTATGTAGATGACCGTTCACTCTCTATTTTCTCTAGGACCCAACAGATGCTTAGCAATATTGATAACACCCAAATTAACAAGTTGCTCGATAGGTTAAATGACGATGAGCTGAGAAGGTTAATAAAATACAATGTGGACAAAAGTTCAACATTAGCCTTCTATTGTGAAAAGAACAATCTGAAATTAACAGTGGAGGAATCCATTATTATAGATCCAGGTACAAGTCCAACTATAGTATGCAATAAGAAACTAATAACGGACCTGAAACCAACATCGTTGGAGATAAGTGGCATAAGTAGTGAACTGGTTGGTGTTGAATTTGGAACCATGACTTTGAGGCTGGAAAATGATGACATAATTGAAATAACCAATGCATTGTACGCACCCTCGTCTAAATGTAATTTATTAGCTATAGATGTCTTTAAGGAACATGGATATGAAGTTGCTTACACACTGAATGGTGTATGTATGTTAAGAGATGCATTTTTAAACGCTACTCCCATTGGGACACAGGTAGAAAACAAATTATATTTCTATGACCAAATGATATTGATTGACGAGAAGTTTACAACTGTACAGGCTTTCCCAGCACAAGACATCTCAGGATTCTATGCTCAAGCTTCACCTTACTCATCAGTAGTAAAATTCATAACAAATGAAGACTTTGACTCAACATCGGAAAAAATAAGTAGCAATATAAAAAGGGAATCAAATCCCTTCTAAAAAAACCATTGTAGTTTACCATGTAATTTTGAGACACCCATCTTTACCAGTACTTAAGAAATTAATACTAAATGGAAACATCGACAGTAAAGTAAAAATAAATAAGGATGACATCAAAACCCTGGTAACGTGCCCAATAATGTGTAGTCGCTAAAGCAATTCAGATGCCTTACAACAATATGCCCTCAAAGAAAGCAAATAGAATTTTGGAAAGGCTACATTTGGAACTACTTGGACTTACTGACATTAGAAGCACGAACTACTCTACTTAAAATGAAATTAACAGATATAAGGATAATTTAGCCATCATGATAAAAGTGAACCTTAGGGAATACCCTTCAAAGATTATATTCGTTGCCCTTTTATACTTAATTGTTCCAAGATGACTAAAATCTTTATTCTTGTTCTGTGTAAATCCTTTTCATAGCCTTACTACTGTGACGTTGGAGTTATTCTGTCACGTGATTTTTGTCATTCATAAATTACCCTGTCTGATCACGTGGATGTCTAACAAAAATAAATATACATCATATTACACGAAATGTTAAATATTATTACTCTAGTAAAATAGAAATGGTATTAAAGACGATAAAGGCAAACAACAAGATGAGTTCCTACAATATAGATAAATTCAGCATATCAGTGACTAGATTTTGCATCATACGTCTAATTAGTTCTAACTGGAAGCATCCAAGATGAGTTCAAAAGATGACCAAGATCAGAGACAGCGTATCAGAGAAATATATCGTTACGATGAGATGTCAAATAAGGTATTGCAATCAGATAAAAAATTGATTGATAATGCTACAAAGGATGCAATTGAATCACAGCCAAAGTCTATGGCAGGGAGAATAAATCTGAATGATATGGGGAAAAGTGTAGTTTACGAAACCCCAACTGAACCATTACAAAATCCTGATTCTACAGGTACCGCCATAGGTATAGTTAGAGATGAACCGATAACATATACTAATACAAGAGGTCAGACTATTTTGGATATGGATGGGGTTACAAAAATTAATTATTATCCAACGACAGCAGAGAATTCCCAGGTGTATGAAGAGATACTGGAGTGGGTTACTGATATGTTAGGCGATGATATACCTCACGAAACCATTATAGAGACATCAGATTTGTTGATATCAGTATTAAAGGAAGATGAAGAGAATAAAGATGGGCTGATACAGAAGAAAAAGAAAATTGTAGAAGATGAATTATCATGTCCGATAGATACTATTCAATTCCAGCGTTTAGTTAAATTGACAAATAACCTAACTGATTATGGTATAAACTCTCACGTTGAAGAAGAAAATATTGTTCCTGTAATGGCGTCAGATGATGAAGAACAAGAAGAACAAACAAATTTAAATAGAAGAGATGATGATCTAACACGCTCTAATGGACATTCGCCAACTCTAGCTGACAATGGAATGTCGCCTCATGATGATAACAACGGCCAGACGATACGACACAGTGTAAATATTGATAATAAACCTGAAGAAATCAGAATAGGGTCTGATAAATTAGGATCTGAAAAGAATAAAATATCAATCTTCACAGTAGATGAATTTTATGTAGAGAGGCTTTTGTTAAAAGAATTAAAAAGCATAAACACTGAAATGGTACCCAATTTGTCTTCAAAAATTTTATTGGCAATTGAAGGTTCGAGTGATTCAGATAAAGAAATAGAAAAAAAATTACTAGAATTGTTAGATTTTGATTCTTTGAGTCTTGTTAATTTCATTATACAAAACAAATATGAAATCCTATGGGGATGCAAATTATCAAAAGCTAATAAAATTGATAAAGAAGAGCTTATAGACACGATGATAGGAAATGGATTACAATATTTGGTTGACGAATATAAGAATAGAAACTCAGATACTAACAAAAGGATATTCGAAGACATTAACACTGAACCAGCAAAAATGGACATCAATAAAAAAAAACTAAAAATTGAAGATAATTCAAATCTTCCAGATATTATTGATTTAAGTAAGTTGGCTGTAAATCAGAATCCAAAAACACTTTCTTCTCAAAAGATTTCATTACCAGCAGGATCATTCAAAAGAGTAAAGCCTAGTTACGAAGAAATACATATACCTCCTCCTGATAAACCAGACTTCCACCATGATTTGGTTGCTATCTCAGAACTACCTGATTGGACCCATGAAGCATTTCCATCAGAAGAAATTCAGCATCTAAACCTTGTTCAATCAAAAGTATTCAATTCTACATTTAACACGGATAATAATTTATTAATTTGTGCTCCTACTGGAGCAGGTAAGACTAATATTGCACTGTTAGCAATCCTTAGAGGGCTATCCTTATTACGTGATGATATCACATCAAAATTGAATATAAATAGATTTAAGGCTATATATATTGCTCCTTTAAAGGCATTGGTTCAAGAGCAAGTTCGAGAATTTCAGCGTAGATTATCTCCATTTGGTATAAAAGTTTCAGAACTTACTGGTGATTCTAATTTAACTAGCCAACAAATTTCGGAAACTCACATACTAGTTTCAACTCCAGAAAAGTGGGATATCATTACAAGAAAATCAAATGAATTGACTTTTGTAAAAACTGTAGATTTGGTTATTATAGATGAAGTTCATCTGTTGAATGATACCAGGGGACCCGTTCTAGAATCGATTGTTGCTCGAGCTCATTTATCTACAAACCCCAGTGAAAGACCGAGAATTGTTGCGTTATCGGCAACCTTGCCAAACTATAAAGATGTAGCAAGATTTCTTCGTGTTCCGGATGATGGTCTGTTCTACTTTGACAGTTCATATAGGCCTTGTCCATTAAGTCAACAATTCTGTGGTATCACAGAAAGGAATGCTTTGAAAAAATTGAATGCCATAAATGAAGCATGTTACGATAAAGTATTGGAATCTGTATCAGAAGGACATCAGGTAATTATTTTTGTTCATTCCAGAAAAGATACAATTAGAACAGCTCAATATTTGAAGACCAGATTTAGTAATGAAAATAATTTGAGTAAAATTATTAAATCTGAAAATGGTATTAAAGAAATACTAAAACGTGAATCTGAAAATGGTATTAAAGAAATACTAAAACGTGAATCTGAAAATGTAAATAACTCCAGTCTTCAAACTTTAATATCTCACGGTATTGGTATTCATCATGCTGGTCTTAATCGAAATGATAGATCTTTGTCAGAGGATCTATTTGCAGATGGTTTATTGCAGGTTTTGGTATCGACAGCAACTTTAGCTTGGGGTGTGAATTTGCCTGCACATACAGTTATAATCAAAGGTACTGATGTATATTCTCCAGAGAAGGGTTCTTGGGTACAGTTATCTTCCCAAGATATATTACAAATGCTGGGAAGAGCAGGTCGACCTCGTTATGACACACATGGTGAAGGTGTTATCATAACGGCTCAAAGCGATGTTCAATATTATTTAGCAATATTAAATCAGCAGCTTCCAATTGAATCACAGTTTATCTCAAGCTTAATCGATAGTTTAAATGCCGAAATTGTCTCAGGAAATGTTAAAAATAGAGATGATGCCAGAAAATGGTTAAGTCTGACGTATTTATATGTCAGAATGCTAGTTTCTCCAGAGCAACATAATGTTCCAGAAGGCTCAAAGTTATTGGATAGAGGCTCTTATTTGGATTCACTAGTCCATTCGGCACTTCTAATTTTACATGATAGAAATCTTTCTACTTATGATGCAATTGAAGATCGAGTTGAATCAACGGAACTTGGTAAGATTGCATCAAGATTTTATATCAAATACAATTCAATGTCTGTATATTGTGATAATTTGAATGAAAATTCGACTTTGTTTGACATTTTTAAGATATTTTCAATGTCTGAAGAATTTAAGTACCTTTCTGTAAGACAGGAAGAAAGAAAAGAATTAAAAGAATTGACAGAAAAATGTCCTATTCCGATTAGCAAAGATACTGAGGATCATCTGTTTAAGGTAAACATATTGTTACAATCCTATATTTCAAGGTTGAATTTTGAAGGGTTTGCCCTAAATGCAGATATGATCTTTATTACCCAAAATGCAGGAAGATTATTAAATTCAATGAAAGAAATTTGTCTTAAAAAAAGATGGTCAAAGCCTACGAAGCTGCTCTTGGATCTTTGTAAAGCTGTGGATAGAAGAATGTGGGTAACAAATTCTCCATTGAGACAGTTTTCAAGTTGTCCTGTAGAAGTTATCAGGAAAGCTGAAGCTTCCTCCTTACCATGGGTTGACTATATGAAATTAGACTCCCCATCTTCTGTAGGAAAAGCAATTAGATCGGAAAAGTATGCAAAAACAGTCTATGATTTATTGAAAAGGTTTCCATCGTTGACTAGTTCTTGTACCATACAACCAATAACTTCAACCTTGCTAAGTTTTGAATTGGAAATCATCCCTGGATGGATCTGGGATAACAGGTATCATAGTCCAATAGAATCATTTACTATACTTGTAGAAGATACGAATGGTGACAACATTCTTTATTCTACAAATATATTGATACATAAAGACTATATTAATCAAGAGCATATTGTGAACTTTTATATTCAACTAAATTCATCTGAGCAAAGAACATTGCCACCAAATTATTTTATAACAATTATCTCTGATCGATGGCTAAATTCTAAAGAGCAAATTGTGGCATCTTTCCATGATCTACGAATTCCAAGAAAGTTTCCTCAACCCACCCAATTGATAAATATGTCACCAGTCTCTACCTCTAGTTTGGAAAATGAGGAATTCATGAATACATTTGATTTTAGTTCCTTTAATAAGTTCATTACACCACTTTTTGAAATTATTTATAATTCGAACGAAAATATGTTGCTATGTTGTGCAAAAGCATCAGGTAAGACTACGGCTGCTGAGCTGGCTTTACTGAACCACTGGAGACAAAATAAAGGAAGAGCTGTGTATATTAATCCTGTGCAACAATCCATTGATAACTTATTGGTTTCTTGGAATGGAAAATTTTCAGACATTGCTGGGGGGAAGTTGATTAATAAGCTAACTAATGATAATAGTATTAATTTAAAGGTTTTGGCACAGAGTCACCTAATTTTGGCAACACCATCTCAATTCATCAACCTTTCAAGAAGATGGAGGCAAAGAAAAAATATTCAGAGTATAGAGTTAGTTATTTATGATAATGCTCAAAGGGTATCCGATCCTGCTATTGGACCATCATACGAATGTCTAATTTCTCAAATGAATTTAATGTCATCGCAATTAGAAAAAGATTTAAGAATAGTTGGTCTTTCATCCTGTATAGCAAATGCAAGAGATTTTGGTGATTGGATGGGGGTTAACAAGAAGTATATCTTTAATTACTCTCCATTGGAACAAATATATCCTGTTGATATTCATCTTGATGGGTATGATGATGTTAGAGGCTCCTCTTATTCTAATCTAATGTTGAAGAAGGCATGCAATTATGTTTATAATGAAAGTATAAAAAGTAAATCTACTATTATGTTTGTCTCAACAAGAACAGATTGTATTGGAGTTAGTAAAGAACTGATATCATTAATAGAAGATGGAAAATATGGATCTTTCTCCAATGGATTAAATAAGTCCAATAATGAAATTGAAAAACTTCAGAATAAAAATTTAAAATCTACTTTAGAAAGAGGTATTGGGTTGATATACGAAGGAATTTCTCCTGTGGACCTTGATATCATTTTTAATTTATTTGAGGCCCAATTGTTAAAAGTGTTGGTGCTGACAAAAGAATACTGCTATGATTTTCCCAAGTCTGATAATATTGTTGTTTTGGGAACAAAATATTACGATGAAAAGGAACACAGATACCGCAATTATACTTCAGATATGTTAAATGAAATGATTGCAATTTCATTTGCTAAGAACAACTCGAAACATGTTGGGAATATACATATTATGACTGATACTAATATGAAGTTTTTTTACAAGAAGTTCATAGAAGAGGCATTGCCAATCGAAAGCAATCTATTGTATTTCTTACACGATTTCATTATTGATGGTATATTTTCTGGTATAGTTGAAAATAAACAAGATTGTGTTGATTTGATTACTTATTCCCTATTCTATAGGAGAATTCATGCCAATCCAAGTTATTATGGTGTTGTTGACACATCACCACTTGGTATTTCGCAATATCTTTCTCAATTAGTGGAGAATATTGTCACTGAACTTGAAAGTTCTTCTATTGTTGAGATCGAAAATAATCAAGAAAGTTCAACTGATCCTGAACAAACAGAAACTATCTCTCCGATAAACGGTGCCCTCATTTGTGTTCAGTATAATATATCATATTTATCCTTTTCACATTTCGTGTCCAAGCTTTCCCAAAGAACAACAATGAAAGAAATTTTAGAGATCTTATCAGGTGCTATTGAATTTGATTTCATACCTGTAAGACGGGGTGAACTTTCATACTTGTATAAATTGCAAAAAATATTACCTTATAAGTTTCCTGAAAATGGTGAGCTAAATGTATTAAAATTTAAAGTATTTTTATTATTACAGGCTTATTTTTCAAGAGTTAAATTGACGGCTGATCATCAATACGATTTAAATAGCATTTTGTTAGTTGTTCTTCCATTGATTAACGCTGTAGTGGATATATTATCAAGTGATGGCTGTCTAAATGCTACGACGGCAATGGATTTATCACAGATGGTAGTACAAGGGGTTTGGGATACAGACAGTCCATTAAAACAAATACCATTTTTTGATGAATCTATATTAAAGACATGTGCAATTAAAAATATTGATACTGTTTATGATATTATGGCGCTTGAGGATGAAGAAAGGGAGGAAATCATGACTATGGAAGAGAAGCAATTAATAAAAATCGCAGAATTTGTCAATAATTATCCAAATATCGAATTAGAGTATTCTCTGAAGGATGCTAACTCTATTAAGGTAGATGATGATGTAACTATTACTGTAACGGTTAATAGAGATGAAGATCCAGAAACATTAAATGTCACCTCTGAGAAGTATCCATATGGTAAACTGGAAAATTGGTGGGTTGTCTTGGGAGAAGTCTCTACTCGAGAATTGTTGGCTATAAAAAGAATAAGTTTATCGAAGGAAACACAATCTTATGATTTACAATTCACAGTAAATACTGAAGGAGAGCATAAATTGTCATTATGGTGTGTTTGTGATTCGTACTTAGATGCAGATAAAGAAGTTTCATTTGAACTTAACGTGAAAAGTTGAGATAAAAACATGAATCGAGACAGACGATGTGTAGTAATATATCATGGTAGATATCTATGATTTTGCATTAAAAAATTGCCATACATAGTGGCAATGGATCAAAGAGAAATGGGAACTCATCTTCAATTTTCAACCTCTATTTGATCAATTACGTCATATTTTTTATTTCAATTCTTCCATAGCTGATAGATTTGTCCCGTTAACAAAATGGGGCATCGCATAAAAACGCGACGCGTAAACATTTATATATTTATATATAATAGTAACAATTTTTTAAAGATCTCACATTAATATAAGATGGATTCCATTTATATTTTCATGTTTCAGTCATTTAAGATCTAGAAGAGCTTGGAAATCTCGATTTAGGCAATTAGTTGAGTATTAGCAGTGGATCAGTGTGTGTCAAGTTTTAGACTGAAGGGTGAGAAATAAATTATACAGGAAAAAATGGCACCAATCACACCAAAAGCTAAGAAAGTGGCTGATTTGAAATCACCATCAACATCTTCACAAAAGAAGATGAAGCAATCTTCTTTGATGTCTTTCTTTTCCAAACAATCGCCTACTACATCTAAAATTAAGCCGGTTGCTGCAGAAGGAAAGAAGGTTGGCGTCAACCCAAAAAAAGGGACAGCACTATTCGTGGGACAGGAAGACGACGACGACGACGAAGATGCTGATAATCTAAGAGTTAAGAAAGATAATATTGGGAATTCTTCTCTTGATTTTGGTTCAAAGAAAACTTATGGTAAAGAAGTAGAAAAGGCTGAAAACGTAAGATCCTTCGTTAAACCAGAGACATCTTCTCAGGATGATGATAAATCTTTATCACTACTTATAAAAACAACACCGGCTACAGAGATGGATGATACATTTGGGGAAAGTGATGATTCTTTATCACTTTCTTCGACCAGAAGAAAGGTCAAAAGAAATATAAGCTATGCAGAAAGTAGTAGTGATGATGATGACGATTTAATTGCAAGTTCAAAAAGAAGAAGAAAGAATAATTCCCGTGCTGATGATGAGGATGAGGATGATGATGATTTTATTCCCGCCAAGAAGGTTGATATTGAAAGTGAAGAAAGTGAGGACGATGATAAAATTGCCATTAATGATATTGACCTCGACGATGATGATGATTTGTTGGAGTTGGCTAGTAAACCTAAATCACAGACAACAAAATCAGTTAACAAGATTTTAAATAGTTCAGTACCATCTAAACCATCAACACCAAGACCTGTCAAAAAAATTAACAATAGTTCGAAGCATTCTAACTTTAACAAAGAAAATGAAGAGAGGTATCAATGGTTAGTTGATATTAGAGACGCCCAAAAAAGACCAATTTCAGATCCAGAGTATGATCCTAGAACTTTATATATACCTTCTTCTGCGTGGAATAAATTCACAGCATTTGAAAAGCAATATTGGGAGATCAAGTCAAAAATGTGGGATTGTGTTGTATTCTTCAAGAAAGGTAAATTTTTTGAATTATACGAAAAGGATGCTATGTTGGGTAATTCCTTATTCGATTTAAAGATCGCTGGTGGCGGTAGAGCCAACATGCAACTAGCTGGTATTCCTGAAATGTCATTCGATTATTGGTCATCTCAATTTATTCAATATGGTTATAAAGTCGCAAAAGTTGATCAACGTGAATCTATGTTGGCAAAAGAAATGCGTGAAGGTTCAAAAGGTATTGTTAAAAGGGAATTAGAATGTGTGTTGACATCGGGTACCTTAACAGATGGATCGATGTTGCACTCCGATCTGGCTACTTATTGTATGGCTATAAGAGAAGAACCTGGCAATTATTATACCTGTAATGATGAAAATATAGTATCAATAGAAGAGACGATGTCCAAGAAAATATTCGGTGTTGCTTTTATAGATACAGCTACTGGTGAGCTACAGATGTTAGAATTTGAAGACGATAAGGAATGTTCAAAGTTTGATACTCTGATGTCACAAATCAAACCAAAGGAAGTCATTATGGAAAAAAATAATTTGAGTAACTTAGCCCAAAAAATAGTCAAATTCAATTCATCCCCACAGGCAATATTCAATTATATGAAACCTGGTACTGAATTTTATGATTTCCATCGTACTTATGATGAGCTTTTAAAACCTGAGAATGCTTATTTCGAAGAGCAATCGGAATGGCCAACAATCCTACAAAAGTATTACAATAATGGTAAACAAGTAGGATTCAGTGCATTCGGTGGACTTTTGAACTATTTGAAGTGGTTGAAACTTGATAGTTCATTGATTAGCTTAGGTAACATGAAAGAATATAATTTGATAAAATCACAGCACTCAATGATTCTTGATGGTGTTACATTACAAAATTTGGAAATTTTTTCCAATACTTTTGATGGATCTGATAAGGGTACATTATTTAAATTGTTCAATAGAGCTATTACTCCTATGGGTAAAAGAACGATGAGAACATGGGTAATGCATCCGCTACTGCATAAAGCTGACATTGATAAAAGATTAGACAGTGTTGAACAACTACTTGACGATCCAGTATTAAGAGATTTGTTCGAATCTCATCTGTCAAAGATTCCCGATTTAGAAAGATTGTTATCTCGAATTCATGCCGGTACTGTAAAAATGAAAGACTTTGATAAGGTGATCCAAGGCTTTGAAACTATAGTTAAATTATTGACTAAAATTTCAAATCAGAACTTTAATGGAGCTTTGGGTGTTTTCGTATCCCAAATTCCAGAAAGTTTGTTTCAAGATGTTGCGAAATGGACAAATGCTTTTGATCGTGAAAAGGCTATTGTTGAAGATGTTATGGAGCCACATAGTGGTGTTGAACCTGAATTCGATGAATCTCTAGATAAGATAAAAGGAATCGAAGAAGACTTAAATGATCACTTGAGAAGATATAAAAAAGAATTTAAATGTTCCACTATTCATTTCAAGGATTCTGGTAAAGAAATATATACAATTGAAGTCCCAATGGCGGCAACGAAATTAATCCCATCGAGCTGGATGCAAATGGGTGCCAATAAATCATCTAAGAGATATTATTCCGAAGAAGTAAGTAAGTTGGCAAGAAGCATGGCAGAAGCTCGAGAATCGCATAAGATTATAGAACAAGATCTTAAAAATAGATTATCAAAAAAGTTTCATTCTCATTACAAGACCAGTTGGATGCCAACAATCGAAGCTATTTCTAAAATAGACTGTTTAATTGCATTGGCCCGTACATCGGAATCTCTAGGTGCTCCATCTTGCAGGCCTCAATTAGTTGATGAAATAGATCCTGCTACAGGCGCTAAACTAAATGGTTACCTAAAATTCAAATCTTTGAGGCACCCATGTTTCAACTTAGGTTCCACTTCAATTAAAGAGTTTATACCTAATGATATCGAGTTGGGTAAAGATGTTCCACAGTTAGGTCTACTGACAGGTGCCAATGCAGCAGGTAAGTCTACCATATTACGTATGACTTGTGTAGCAGTTATTATGGCACAAATTGGGTGCTATGTTCCATGTGAGTCCGCAACCATGACTCCAGTTGATAAAATTATGACTAGATTGGGTGCGAATGATAATATAATGCAAGGTAAATCTACATTTCTTGTTGAACTATCAGAAACAAAAAAAATATTAGACGTTGCCACTAATAGATCATTATTGGTTCTTGATGAATTGGGTAGAGGAGGTTCATCCAATGATGGTTTTGCCATAGCAGAAAGTGTGTTATACCATGTTGCTACTCATATGCAGAGTTTAGGTTTCTTTGCAACACATTATGGTTCGCTAGGTTTAAGTTTCAAAGGTCATCCACAAGTTAGACCATTAAAGATGAGTATTCTTGTTGATGAAGGTACCAGGAACATTACATTTTTATATAAACTAGTTGAAGGGCAAAGTGAAGGTTCCTTTGGTATGCATGTGGCATCTATGTGTGGTATTCCTAAAAAAATTGTTGATAATGCACAAGTGGCCGCTGAAACTTATGAACATACTTCAATTTTAAGGAGAGCAAGAAAAGCATCTGATCAAGGCCGTGGTGACAATGATGAGAACGGTATTCCAATCGGTTTATCCAGTGATTTTGTTAGATTGGTATACGGTAGTGGCTTAGCAAATGATAAAAAAGGTACTGGTGAAGGTGTGATGATTTATGATGATAATGTCAAAACTAACGTTTTACAAACCTGGTTGAAATTAATTGATTCATTGTAAGTGCCATTAATATTCGAAATAACACTTGCAAGGAGTGAGAATGAAGTCAAACCTATGAACTTGTATTTAAGAATCTTTACTTCTCTGCATTTAATACTAAAATATAAATTATATAATCATTGATGATATAAATACAGTAATCCTGCGATTGAATAGATATATATTGTTAAGAATGGATACTTATAATCTAACTGATTCTTCTAATATCTTCTTGATTAAAGCAACTTTATATATTATTGAACATCGGAAAACTGATCAGACATGTATTTGTTACCTAATAATTTTGAACTAGGATCTTAGTATCTAAACCCTAACTGGTGACCACTTTTGACTTTCTTCTGATTACTGACATCTCTACTTCTATATATTTAGATATATATTTATATCACGTGACTGTGTAATTTTTCAATATCGATCAAGAACTTAACAAATAAATTGTAAAGACATCCAAACTAAATAATGAATAAATGAATGCTTGATTGTTGATAAATATGATGATCATGACTTCAAATTGGGTTCTGTATGTTTCGTATTCTACGTAATATATCGACTAATAAGGTTGCATTGACACAATTGAAAAAGTTTGACTTTAAAGCACCTAAAATGTGCATTGATCAGAAACCTGTCGTGCAACTGAATTCAGTTGAACAAAAAGTATGTCAATTATTGATTGATTTTACTAATGACTACAATTCTGAGCAGAAACCTACTGAACCATTGGAATTGAGAATTACTGGTGGCTGGGTACGTGACAAGTTACTGGGTTCTGAATCACACGATTTGGATATAGCGATAAATATTATGTCTGGTGAAAATTTTGCTACAAAGTTAAATGACTTTTTACAGATACATTATGATAGATATAACTTAAAGCCACATTCCATTCATAAGATTGATAAGAATCCTGAAAAGTCTAAACATTTAGAAACTGCTACCACGAAACTATTTGATGTTGAAGTTGATTTTGTCAATTTAAGATCAGAAGAATATACTGAAAACTCTAGAATTCCAACAGTTGAATTTGGCACACCAGAACAAGATGCCTTAAGAAGGGACGCTACTCTAAATGCATTGTTTTATAATATTTCTAAAAAAGAGGTGGAAGATTTTACCGGTAGAGGTATTGAAGATTTATCTGCTGGTATTTTAAGGACACCTTTACCGCCAAGGAAAACTTTCTTGGATGACCCTCTACGTGTCTTAAGACTAATTAGATTTGCATCTAGGTTTAATTTTCAAATAGAGGATTCAGTGAAAAATGCAATGTCTGACAAAGACATAAATAAAGCCTTTTATACTAAAATTTCAAGAGAACGTATTGGTGTTGAGATGGAAAAGATATTTGACGGGAAAACTCCGTTAATTGGTTTATCCTTGATACAAGAAACATGTATAGATAATGTTATTTTCCACTGGCACAATGACCAATCGATTATTGATTATAATGAGGAAAGTAATCCACAACAATTTGCATTAATTAACGAAATATATGATAAAAATATTCTAAATGATCACCTGTGGAAGGTAATTAGTATAGTTAAAGACAGAGAATTATTATCATTGCAACTTCCAACTTTATTTGACAAATTAGATAACGATCAATCCTTTAAGAGGATGTATTTATTATCATCTATTCTTTTACCTTTCCAAAACTTAATGATTATTTGGAATCCTAAGAAAAAAATGAATAACACTATCCCTGTAACTGAAAGCATTGTTAAAGACGGTTTAAAAATGAGCAAAAATGAAGCGGTTGTTGTTTCACAGATAGTTAATGGTATTGAAAGTTATTATGAATTGGTATACAAGTTCAAAAATGATAGAGTTTCATTAAAACGCTCTGACATTGGTAACTTTTTAAGAGATTTTAAGGGAAACTGGGAAATAGCACATTACGTTTCTTTATTGAACCAACTATTAGCTAACAATGAGGCCGCAATGAATGATTACTCTCATTTCTGGAATTTTATATTTGAAGAAAAGCTAGATGTGTGTCATACTTTGAGACCGATGATTGATGGGAAAAAAATGGCAAAGATTCTTGATCTTAAGCCGGGACCATGGTTGGGTAAACTTAATGAATACTCAGTTACATGGCAATTAGATAATCCAGAAGGTTCAGAAGAAGAATTATTGGATCATTTAAGAGAAATTCTTCCAACATTACTATAATGAAAAGATTATCTGTGTAGGGAATTCGATATATTTACGTTAAAGGTTTTATATTTACGTATTATTTACATACTTCTATAATTTAATTCAATCCAAATATGCATAGCACAAATTGTAAACCAAAGATATATCAAAGAAAATACTTCGTAAATATTATAATAAAATAGCGATCGTTTTTAGGACCACTCCTTTCAGTTTTGATAAGTATCAAAAAATGAATTGGTATCTATCTACTGTACTGTCCAAAATAACATTAAATATATTGAAGGAATTACTCTTCACATAGATATATAATAGTGTACATGTTGCTTTTTAAGTTTAATATAAATTACAAAATATGTAGTCATTCTTCTATGAGAAATATTTCTCGGTCTTTTCCATTAGATTTTCTGCTTGAGTGACACCAGGTAATTCCAGGGATGCCCTGGCCCTTTCAACAGAATACCTATTATCTAGTTGATTAGTTTTTAGCATTTCTTCTCTCCTACGATCCAAAGATTTTCTACCAGAAAATACTCTACTTTGTTCTTCAGAATCATCTGCTCTTGGTGAAAATAATAAATCTTGAGTTTCTCTTGGGGAATCATTCCATGCACTGTCTTTATCCTTTCTAACCAACATAGGAGTTCCATCAGGTCTATCCATAAAGTTCATAGGAATCTCTTCCGTAACAATACTTGCATGAGAATTGTTAGATGGTAAAATATCATCATCGAAATTACTCATTTCGATCTTATGGCTAACAGAAGCAAATCTTCCTCTTTGTGAAATTTTAGGTTTGTTAGGATCAGTTGGATCATATCCAAGCGGATAATTATCAAAATCACCTCTTTTCCACATCTCTCTAATGATATCAACATCCGAAGGATTGAACAACTTTAGGAAACAGTCATAAGTAAATCTTGGTAATAGACAGAATAAGACGCCTACAAACATTATACCCCAGAATACTGGAGTAGCGTAAATACGTGAGGCAGACTTGAAATATTCATTACTTGTTAACGAACTAGACCAGATACCAGTCCATGCAAATAAGATCATAATAGACAAACCAACAAAGAAGCCAGTAAACCAATCCCATCTGTATTGGTGTAATAAAATGTATAGATTACAAGCCACCACAGCAATTGTCGCAATAAAAGTACCAACATAATAACGGTGTTCAAGGCCAAAACCATTATTAGTAACCAGCATTGTCTTATGGTAAATCAAATAAGGGAAGAAGAAACAGATTACAGATTGATAGAAACCATCAATCATATACCAAACAAACTTACGTTGATTCCATTCCAATCTAAGAATACCAACTTTGTATAGTTGTGGAACTACCATTGAAATCGTATCGTTGACATCTTGATCTAGAATACCCAAAAAGATGACAGGTAAAGATGTGAAAGCCAAATTGTAAAATGATAAATAGGTGTATTCGAATAAGTAAGAACCGTCGAAATTATTATAGATACCATACCAGAACAAAGCCAAAGTGAAGATAACATTCTTGTAGAAGAATGCAGGAATCATTTCTGCTAATCTCTTATAAGACCATCTACCATGAACAAGCAACAATCTTGTTAGATATCTAAATTGACCAATCGCATAATCAGAACACATAACAGCTTGACGACCCTCTTCACCAGCAATACCAATACCAACATCTGCAGATTGGATCATAGCGACATCGTTAGAACCATCACCAATAGCTAATGTCATAACATCTAAGGTAATCTTGACTAACTTGACAACAGCAGCCTTTTGAGATGGAGAAACTCTACAACATAATACCGCCTTACAGTTTTTACATAACAATAAAAATTTTCTTCTCAAATCATCGCTACTCAAAGCTAGTTTCAATGCATCACCATCAATGACAACACCATATTCACCTTTTGGAAGATCGTGATGTTTTTTTGCTTCTTCAATTTCAATTTCAGAACCACTCATATTGAACTTTTCTAACAAATATTTAGATATCAATACATTAACAATCTCGTAGGGATCACTACCATATTGTTCGGTATCTTCACCAGAAGCTTTGATTACCAATAATTCCATTTCATTATTTAATAAGTTACAAGAGAAACCAATATTGATAGCAGTTTCAACCTTATCACCAGTTAAAACCCATAGCTTAATACCTGCTTTAGCTAACAATTCAATAGAATCAGGGACACCATCTTGAAGTCTATCCTCGATAGCAGTACCACCTAATATGATCAAATCACGTTCAATAGCATCGGCAACTTCTTCCATTTGTTCTTCTCTGTTGGTCAAAGCACCAGCAGCTCGATCGTACTTAGCATTCCATGCTTGATATTCTGCCCATGGAATTTCCTTTTGGGCTAAACATAACGTTCTCAAACCTTCAGTAGCATATTGTTCTAAATGCAAAGCAGTCTTTTCTAATAGAGTATCATCATTGGCATTATCAGTTCTTTTTAGTCTTGAGTAAATCACAGAATCCGCACCCTTACATATTAGTAACGCAGTTGGTTCGCCATCTGGACTGCTACTTGGAACTTTAATGATACAACTCATACGTTTTCTTGATGAATTGAATTCTAATACATTTAATATTTGGAACTCCTTCTGAACACCTTGAATTTCAACAATTAAGCCGGATTTTGTCTTACCTAAGAAACTGAAACCCAAATCTCTAGCAGTTCCGACTAAAGCAGCTTCATCAGGTGATTGCGCCTTCAAGTCTAGTTTGTTAGGATCAGATTTATGTGGTTCAACTAAGACGGAATGACATAACGCAAGTGCCAGCATAAAATGTTCACAACATCTCTTCTGGTATTCACCATTGGCACCTTTCAAGTCACGAACAAATTCCTTTGAAATAAATGTCAATTCATCGGGGTTAAATTGAGAATTATTTGATAATGCTTTTAATTCACTGATCATTGTATCTCTATCTCTAGCGATTTCTTCCTTCTCTTTAGCACCTTCTGCTTCGACATCAATACCTTGTCTCTTTCTCAAACCAGCAAGTGCCTCTGTGTATGCTCTACCATATGAAACACCATTAATTGTAGCCTTTTTAAACTCCATAACATTTTGAGTTAATGTACCCGTCTTGTCTGAGAATATATATTCAACCTGACCCAAATCATCTGAAATATTCCAAGACTTGGGTGTACAAGGATAATCTAATTTCGCATTGTATAAAAGGACGTCACCATAAATAAAAGCTGCCTGTGCTGTTTTAATAATTTCCACCGAAATATATAACGAAATAGGAACCAGGGACTGATACAAAATAACGGCAACCCAAAATGAAACAAACCCATTAGTTGATGCATTACCAGCGATTGTACCAAATTCAAATGAAAAACGTGATTTATCACCTTTACTATAATAAACACCGTTGACGATACCAGCAATAAAACATAAGATAAACAATACAATTAAATTCGAAACAACAGAAAAATT